GGGAAACCCGCTGTTCCCAATATTGCTAAATTTTTTAATATTAATAGCAAAGAGGTATATTTACATATGTAGATGTCAAAATAGAATTCCCTATTTTAGATCTTTTGAACCATTTGTACACAATATACAAAAAATAGAATATATAATAGCTAACAAAAAAGGGAAACTTGAACAGCACCTTAAAAAATGGGGCAAGTTCCTTTCAGTATTGGCAAAGTAATAAGACCACAATTGTATCAATCACATTTTAATGTCTGACATAGTGTATGAACAGTTACTTTTCTAAGATGTAATTTTTCCATGAAACAATGTATGTGCTACATGTAAGTTGTTGTACTATTGTACTAAGACTCAATAAAAGTTTATAAAATATAAAAAAAAAGTATATCTGTATGCAGCACGGAATATGTATAAAATATAAAAGAATATGACAAAATAAATGAATTAGTCTTGTTTATATTTAACTAAATATTTGCAGAGAGTGATAAGATGGTTTGTATTTGGTGACTGTAGTACAAGTTTAAATTGTTCTTTTTTGTTTAAGTTTTGGTAATCACTGTTATGTGTTTTCCGAAACTGTAATTGTATAACCTTTGTAGCGTCATTATTGTTTCTACGTATACAATTATTTCTATATATGTAGTATATTATTGATTACAAAACTGTTATGTCGTTGGACTTAGTCAGCCTTTGGCCACGATGTTAAAACGACAGATGTGATATATTTACTGTATGTATATTTCTTTTGTCTCAAATTGCTAACATTTATTTTCAGTCGGAAATAAGCAGTCACATGCTTCTATATCAAATTCATATGCAACATATAACAAACGAAAGAAAAACAAGTACATGCCACGGATTGTTTAATTTGCTACAAGCAACCAATCAAATATATGATATTTTGTGAGTATATTGAACATTACAATCAAATACGTAAAACTAACTTTGCGTATATGCAATGCCACCAAGCATTGAACTATGTAGTCTTCCATATCATTTGTAACTTAAGTGGGCCAACAAACTATATCCGGTAACCTACTAGTTGCAAAATCAAAGATGAGTAATAATACCATGATTTAATGATTTTATTCAGTACAGCTTATTTCGATAAACTTTACATTGACATTGATCTGAACATCTCCCAATTATTCTCCTTGAAACCAACATATTAATTATATACGTATCATTATAATGTAGAAATATTAATTAATATCCGTTTATATAATGCAACAGTATGTGGAAGTAATTGTAACATCATTACCGCATATATAGTGGGAAAAACTGAGTATATACAATATAGAACGTTAATATGAAAATGTTTTGTTGCACAAAATACATGTTAGTGTCTTCGTGGTTATATTAGTAAACCATTACATAATGCTGAGTTGATGATTATTATGCATGCGATGACTGACAGATAGGACATGGGTGGTTGATTACCATAGTAGCTTAATATCAAATCAATTCATATTCACCTCTACTCAATATTATTCTTAACTCAGTCCCGCTTATTGTCAGGTAATTCGTATTCAGCCTCACTTCTGAAACGAAAATTAAAATAATTTGAAATGAAACATGGACATCAGAGCAACTTTCAACTAATATTTCTATTGAACTGTGGATATAAACAAATGTTACAGTGCATAAATTGTACTCACTCCGTATTATTATCTGTAGAATTCTGGTAGTTGATTTCTTGGACTTTTCCCAAGGTTTGATATCTTTTATCTTCCAAAGATGAAATATCTTCATAGACTAAAAAAAATAAAACTAATTATATTGTTGAAAGCCGACTTATATAAAACACATTGACTGGTCAAGTGGTCAATAGCATAAATCTATTTGTTGAATTTTGAGTCGCCAACAAAATTACTATAATTCCCATGAAATTACTTAACTATGGGCGACTCCCGTGAAGGCAAATGGACGCGTGACATTGCCTGAATGAAGCCAATCAAAGCATGTTTGATGACTTGAATAAAACATGATATTATTTATTCATAATATTTAAAATTGAATCTTTATATTATAGACAATCATTTAACAATGAACGGTCAACCCAACATAATTCATATTAAACTAATATTAGCTGCTCGTTTCCGGTATTCTAGGCTATAGGCTGCTGAGAAGCACTTATCGAATCCGACTGTGAGTTTTGAGAGTTTATAAATAAATGAAATGCAAAGTAGCTTTGTCCTCCCAACTGCCCATTCTTCAAATATAGTGTATATTCCGCGCACTGCGAGATATCATGACAACGGTTGCCAGCCACGTGACACATATCATTTTTTTTAATTGGCGTCCCAGCATAACGTTGTGCGTTGTTCGTTGTCTTAATTTTGACACTTGCAATTCATTTGTTTTATCGTTCTTTTTGCGTTTATATGAGCTCAAGAGCCTTATACGTAAATTTGATTTTTCAATATCGAATTCAACACCCCTTGCAGTGGCTGGTATCGGGTCTAGATGAGACAATGTCAGACCATTGCATCCAATAAAGTGCAGTAAACACACGCCCATGCTTGGCTAAGTCCCCCCACACCAATTTCTTTAAAATGCCCCCAATTTTATTGTTTAATCATAAAACTTTGTCTTTGATCATTGTTTAACGAATATTGGTAATTGTTTTTATATGATACAGCGTGGATATCGACCGTTGTGAATATGTTGCGAATGTGTACAATGTAGACCGCGTTAAACTACGCTTCGTCAATGACCTGTTAATAAAAAATTCGGTAAATGTCATATTCAGTTTAAACTAGCAAAAATTGCTAGTTAACAGTTTGTTTTTTTTTTAAAAATATGACGTTTATTCGCAGAAATCAATTCCAACAAATAATACTTCGACATCGACAATTCACTTTCGCATTGCGTTACTAGAAATTCTTCGGTACAACACATCATTTTGATTGGTCAATGATAAACATGACCTATAGGTCAAAAGGACGTTGCTGCAGCTCAAATCGTGCAAGAAAACATTATGGCGGAAAGTTTGCGTACGATCCAAAACATTCGAAAATGAAGATAATGTGGAGATTTTTGACCACGACTGTGTTCCAATAGAGTTTAACAATTTCAACCTCGTAAATTTGGGTGGTACTTAATTGATATTTTACAAAAATGTGCATATTTTTGGGACCATTTATGTTTCTTCATTCAATAAAGACGAACATAATTTGGTAATTAAATTTCCCTCAAAGACGTAATATCCCTTCATTTTGTCGCTTGGTGAATTAAAATTTTATGAGCGGGGGCTCGGATAATCGCCTACCCCTAAAGAATCACGATTTACTGAGTTGAGGACACTGGCGCTAACGCGGTAGAGTACTGTTAGTGTCTTGCGTGATCCGGTGTCTTTCAAAGTCATCGACACGAGAACAGACACTGATCCACAGATCACATTTCTCAAGTTGTGTTTTTGGTTTCGGGAAACGAGTAAAAACACATCAATCGTAAAATATTTTAGATGAAATCAAGAATCACTTTTGCATTCACCGCAAGAGCACCGTTTAACTCCCACTGAAGCGCCTTTGTACAGTCGATATTGTTGTGAACGAATACGACTGGAAGCGGTAAGCTTGACCCGTGTCACGTGATCGCGACTTGTTACTTAAGACGTCAAGCTTGACCACGCGAGATCTCGCAGTGAGCGGAATATGACTTATTAGCACGACTTTATCAGAATATGAGGATTAAGTATTACCTTTCATTTCTTCTGAGTCAACGGATTTTCCAGGATTGTCATAATCACACTCATCTCTGCCACAAGAAAATGCAGTGAAATTGTTGAAAAAAACGACGTAATAAACTGATTTAGATAGCACGTTAATGAGACTTTAATTTAATATTTTACTGTAGTGGTGAGATCAGTTCAAACAATAACTGAATAAACGACACCATTTGCAGAGTTTCATCTAAATCAATACGTCTATTTGTACATAAAATATAAATCAATATTAATACATGTACTTGCCGGTGATCACGTTTATTGAGTGTATTCCGTCGGCGTACAATAACTATAACCACGACAATGACCATCACAATCACAACTGCCACAACCAATCCTACTAGTATTGGTAGAGGATTAGCTCTGTCATTAACACTGCCAACTAAAAGAAATCAGCAGGGTTAACGTTTACGATTGTTTTCTCAACAGTCGTAAAAATGATTTGTACAAACTATAGTAATAATGGCATTAAATTCAGGCGCTACTTTTACTAAAACAAGATATTTTAGGCTTTACCAGTGAACATCGCCAGCCCCGTCTCTCGCAACACAACACTCTGATTCTGTAATTAAAAACAGCAATTAGTCTAAATTGGTGAAGGCTGGCGGTCGTCACGTAGCGCATATTCTAATTTCATGTAACAAAAAATATATATTACACGCGTTGTGTACGTCGCTATGAGTCCCAAATTGAACACGGCGCGGCGTGACGACCACCGCATTTTAACATTATCATTCCATGTATTACGTTTCTCCAATGCCCTAACATATTTCACAGGTTGGATATTCATAATTCATTTACCATTTTGAAATATTCACATTGAACTTTAGCTAGGCTACTTGACAACATAGTATATATTTTAGTATAGTACGATAATATGTGTTTCAATGTCTTACTCCAGTAGTATACACTGCTAATCCGTCGTATATGGTATATTGTTGTCCCGGTGTTAATGGTGTATTTATATAACCATTATATTCTGCTCCATCACCCACTGTAAGTTGATTAGGGATTTCATTCAGAAGAAATGCTGCTATGATATATTGATTGTTTGCTATACCACGTTTTTTCTTCAGTTTAATCTCTTCTACAACTATGATATATTGCCTATAACAGATCAAAATTAACAAAATGTTTAATAGTTGCTTCCATCATTAAATGCCAATTATTCATTTATTATAATATTCAACATAATATTATTACGTAATATTTTGTAATTCACTCACAATAGATCAGTATCACTTTTTATATCAGTATGCGCAGCCAGTTTGCTAAATCAATTATAATGGTGTTATCTTTGAATATATAATTGCTTCTCTCTCCTTGAATTGGTAGAATGACATCAATGCTATCATCTACAAAAAATGAATGCGTGCATTACATCACATGATGATGATATAGAAAGATTATGGATCAGATTAAAAGTAGGTGAAGGGCAAACATTGAGTTTATGTGTGGTATATGTTCCCCTAGAAAATACAAACAAGGATGGGGTTGATGAACTGAACCATGAATTTAGAAGGATCAAATGATCAGTATTTATTGCTAGGGGATTTTAACGGTAGAATTGGGAATATTTCAGGTGATAAAACTGTAAATAATAATGGTAAAAAAATAATTTCATTAATAAATAATGTTGACCTTTCATTGTTCAATAATAGTGATATTAGCATTGGTAAATGGACATGGTTTCGCAATACACAACACTCGATCATAGATTATACGTTAACAAATAACAGCTTTAAGTATAATGTAACAGAGCTGTTTGTAGATGAGGATAGAATCATTGATATCGGTAGTGACGATAGTATTATGTGTGCCACTCTAAACATTCCAAATTTGAAACGAGACCACAAAATAAATAAAAAACAAAAATGGGATATAAACAAAAACACTGATTGGAATAAATTTCAAAATGTTTTAACCACCAAGTTATCATCTTTTGATGATACTGTGCGTTTGGCAACTATTAAAACAAATAAACAATCAGCATGTGATGAAGTTTGGAACCAGTGGTCAAAAAATACAATTGAAACATGTCGTGAGGTTATAGGCAAAAAAATTACATCAAGTACCGGTAATGCTAAACCATATTTTGATCAAGAAATTGAAAGTGCAATAAACGAAAGAATAAAATCAAATAAAAAACACAGAGAGTGGGTTAAAGAAAACAGCAGTTACCATGACAATGAAGGTGAAATATTATGGAATAAATATCTAGAAGATAAAAATAATGTCCAAAATCTTATAAAACAGAAAAAAATTGAAAACAGGGTTAAACATGGTATTGAGGTTGGTAAATGTGGAGGTAAATCAACTCGAAAGTACTGGTCAAGGGTTCTAAACAAAGAACATAATCTTCAGTTGTTCTTGACCAGGAACATAAGTTAATCATCGAAAAGATAATGTTAAAAATGTTTTGATAAATTATTGGGAACAAGTCATCAAAACTTGTATGAGAAAGATAGTTTTTTCAAAGAATCAAAAAGTATGAAGAGGATTCATCACAAAATGTAAATATTATCTCCGTAAAGGATGAACAAATAAATAAAATAATATAAGATCTCAAGAATAATAAAGCTGCAGGGCCAGATGAAATCACCCATGAAATCATCAAAGGTGGTGGCAAAGTAGTGACAGATTCATTAATATTGATGTTTAATATGTGTCTTCACCTTGAAGTTGTTCCTGTTGATTGGGGGTAAACATAATAATACCATTATACAAGAAAGGCAGTATAACAAATCTGAATAACTATCGAGGCATTTCACTCAGTTATTGGAAAAAAAATATAGTAAAATAGTTGAAAAAGAATTAACCAATTTGGTGGAATCTAATAATATTTTAGGGGGAATTCAAGGTGGTTTCAGGAAAAACAGACGGACAATTGACCAATTGTTCATTCTAAAAGGGATAGCTTCAATTCGTAAACACCAAAAAAAGCATACATATTTTGCCTTCTTATATTTTAAAAGGCTTATGACAGCATTTGGAGAGAAGGTTTATGGTATGCTTTATGGCAGAATGGTGTAAAGGGCAAATTACGGCGTATAATAAAAAAATACATATAACCATATTGAAAGTAAAGTATCATTTGGCGATATTGAGACAGATTATTTTACACAGAATGAGGGTTTAAAACAAGGATGTGTTTTATCCCCAACGTTATTGTCAATTTACATAAAGGAATTCAAAAAACTGTTAGATGATTCACTACTTGGTGTTAAATTAGAAATTTGTATAAATGGCTTGTTTTTTGCTGATAATGTGGTGCTTATTGCACCAAATGAGGACCAACTCAAATCCATGTTAAATGTCACAGTTTCTGTGGAAACTATGGAAGATGACGATTATTGAGGAATAGTCGAATGTGTTGATCATTAAAAAAAGAAACAAAATCAAAGATTGGCAGATCGGGAACTCAAGATAAAAGAAGCTTCTGAGTATAAATATTTGGGTTATTGGATTACACGTACCTTGTCAGATCATACACAATGTACAAAGATGTCTGAAAAGTTTAACAAGTTATTCTCCATTATGAAATCTATTTTTGATAACCAGGCAATGTGAATAGAGTAGATTATGGCATATCCCTGAAGAACCACATTGTTAGACCTGCCTTAGGGTATGCCTGTGAGTTACTAATATTTAGTTCAACAAACATGGAAAAGTTAGAAAGAATGCAACATACAGTCGGGAAGTTTATTTTGGAAGCATGTCGATACACAGCAAACGAAGCCGTTCTAGGGAACCTGGGGTGTATAACCATGAAAAGTAGAGTCAGTTTATTAAAACTTAATTATTACAGGAGGTTGTGTTTAATGGAATCAACCAGATAGTCAAAAGTTATTTTTAATAAACTAATTGCAGTTAAAGAAGAGAATAATCTGAATAAGACCTGGTCATGGCTAGATAGCATTGAAGATATAGAAAGAACTATAAAGATTAACAAAAGTCAATACACTAATCTGTCTGAAAGAAATATTAAAAATATGATTGTAAACAGTGACGCGATTCAATGGAAAAAAATGGCAGAGAAATCAAGTCTCGTTCATTATAGAAAATTTAAAACAAATTTAAAATATTGTGAACAATATTTAAATTCTGTATCCAACTTCAAGGGCACCCAATTAAAATTCAAGGCTAGATACTGCACTCTTGGTTTGGCAAATGAGAAAAGGAAATTGGCAAACTTGGATAACAATGATTGTATTTGTCCATGTTGCAAAAAGGAACGTGAAACACTTTAGCATTTCATATTACATTGTGAATGTTTCTCAGCACAGAGAAAAACCCCAATGGAAGGGATTGAAATGCTCTTATGCACCAAAAATGAAATA